AGGCCAGCCTGGGCTACCAAGTGAGTTCCAGGAAAGGCGCAAAGCTACACAGAGAAATCCTGTCTCAAAAAACAAAACAAAACAAACAAACAAACAAAAAGAACTCCTGTAGCACAGAGTTCCATTGGGGTACTTAGGTACCCAGAGAAGTGGACTCAAAAGATATGTTTGGGCATGATGTAGACAGCTCTCTTTCAAGGATGCTGGAAAAAGGTAATGGGTGACTGCTTCCAGCATGAGTTCAGACAAGGAAGATGCTCTACTTGCAACTTCCTTGGAAGTGAATAAATATTTTTTTGTGAGAAAGCATGCACATGTAGATTATATATTAGATTTATGCTTCCTTTCATGTGCCATCTTTGAAGAATGAAGAACTGTTGGCATTATTGTAGCCAGGTACCACCACTAGCTCCTAAACAAATTACAGCAGAGTTCTTGGGGAGGAAGGAACACATCTGTGAAGACAGACCTTTCCCACCTTACCCTGTTTTATCAAGGCAAGGTTCATGTGAAGTTACATCCATGTGGCTGGATGTAGACAAAGGCTGTTTCACAGACATGGAAATAATGCTCATTGCATGCGAGTGGGGGTGAGGAAAGAATTTTTCAGACAGAGAGAAGAACACAAGCAAGCTAAGAGGCAGAAGGAAGCTCTTTGGAGCAAGACAAGAGTCATGGTGTGTGAGCACACCAAAGGTGTTTATCAGGAGGAATGGGAAAGAGGGAAAAACAGATGGGCTTGGGTATGTCTCTATGATTCTGAACCAAAACAGGGAGCATGCTATAAAGGTCAGTGGACTCACAAAGCATGACCACATACTGTGCTGTCTAAACCACGGCAAATTTAAAGGTGAACATGGCTGCTTATATCAGTGGTACTAGAGGCCAGAGGGGTGAATGAGAGCCCTATCAGGAATACTGAGACAGTCACCCTAATTTGCACGGATATTGGAACATCTATTTAAAACCAAAGTTGGGCTGGGGATATAGGTCAATTGACATATGCTTGCCCAGTGTGCACAAAGCTCTCATTCAGTCCTCAGCACTGCAAAGCTTACATCCAGGCATGATGGTGCAAGCATGTAATCCCAGCACTTTGTAGGTGGGGGCCAAAGAATCAGAAATTTAAGATTGTCCTTGATGGAATAATTAGTTTTGAGGGCCAGCCTGGGTTACATGTGACTCTGTCTCAAGGGCAGGGCATCCTGGCGCTGTGTAGGTTGATGCTTCTAGCTGCTACTGGGGAGTATGGCAAGTAAGGCAGTGACTGCAGATGACTGAGGACTGACTGTCGGGGAGC